GTTCTGGCGTTTAATAATACAGATTACTCCCAAACTCTCACATTAGCTTTTGAAAGTCTTATTGTATTTATTTCCTTTTTGGAACCAGCTTTAGAATCAGTTTCTTGTGCCTGATTTATTTATTTATTTTTGGAGACAGAGCCTCACTTTGTTGTCCTTTGTAGAGTTCCTGAGCATCATAGCTCACAGCAACCTCAAAATATTGGACTATCCTCTTGCCTCAGGCTCCCAAGTAGCTGGGACTACAGGCACTCACCACAATGCCTGGCTGTTTTTAGAGAAGGGATCTCGCTCTTGCTCAGGCTGGTCTTCAACTCCTGAGTTTACGCAGTCCAGAGTGCTAGGATTATAGGCAAGAGCCACTGCACTTCGCCAGTCATATTCGATTGACCCATAGGAGTGTCTGTCTCCCCATCCAAATCATGTGAAAAATTCCTACCACTTTCCTGTTCAAAAGGAGAGAATGAACAAGCAAGACTTGATACCACACCTTTGAAAAACAGATGGAAAGATTTGACAGAATAAGTACCAACTTACTTTAGGTACATTTCCCTCTAGTTGATGATAATGTCCTTTCTTGTAGACCAGTGCTGCCAGCTGTAATTTCCTAAAAGAATTTTCCTAGGATATCCTTGCTAGTATTCCAAGGAAAGATTTTCAGTTACTTTTTTTCAGTCTCTGAATAGGATTTTGTTTGTTTCTTATGTCTTCTCTTTATAGAAGAGAAAATTAACTTTTTGTGTTAAAAGTTCTTTTTTTTGATATATTTTTTTTCCTAAGTGATCATGGGGGGGGGGTTGTTTTTGTTTCTTTTGCAGGGCTGGTTTCCTCTCAGCACCATAACTCCCTTGTAGTAGCCCTTTTCCATTAGAGGTGAGTTGTAGGCACCAAAACAAAACTTTTAGATCCCTCTCTTCATGGTGGATGAGACCTACTTTCGTTTTCTTTAGTAATTATTTGCCAACCAGGCTTTACCCTAAAGCTGACAAAATTGCTCTTAAATTGGTGAAACTTTTCTTTCTTTTTTTTTTTTAATTTGTTCTTCTGTTTTTTATAGAGACAGGGTCTCACTATATTGTTCAGACAGTTGTGTAGTGGCTGTTCACAGGAAAGCTCACAGTCCACTGCAGCTTCAAACTCCTGGGCTCAAGCCACCCTCCGACCTCAGCTTTCTGAGCAGCTGAGACTGTTGGTACATGCCACCACACCCTGCTTTGTTTTTATTTTTTAAAAGCCAAGAAACTATGTTTATACAGAACATTAAAACAATTATTGAGTTATTTTTGGAACATGGAATACATTATGTAGTTCAAATTCTGAAAAGTATAAAAAGTGATGCGGGAACACAGAAAAACTCCTCTACTGTTTATTTTCTTACACAGGCAGGAGTGTAGTGGTGCCATCATAGCTCTTAACAGCCTAGTGCCTGGGCTCAAGCAATCCTAATCCTACCTCAGCCTCTCCAAGAAGCTGGGGCTACAGGCCTGTTCCACCATGCCTCGCTAGATTTTTTGTTGGTTGGTTGGTTTTTAAGTTTGCTTTTTGAGAAGAGGTTTCAAACTCAAGCAGTGCTCCTGCCTTGGCCTCCCAAAGTGCTGGTATTACAAGTATTTGCCTGGCCAGGCCAAAGTCTTTTACTTGTGATCTCCAGCTAGGGAATACAGAGATGGTTGTTTGCAGTTTATAATATATATCTTTCTAAACAAATCATCCCCATTTGGAAACAAATGGTAACATGATACGCACAATTTTGTATTCTTTTTTTCAGCTAACGTTGTTACATATTACAACATAAGAAGCTTTCTCTACCTTCTTTTTTCTTTTTATCCTTTCTTTACTTTTTTGAGAGTCTTGCTTTCTCTATGGACTCAACCTAGTTTACAGCAACTTCAAATTACTGGGCTCAAGCGATCCTCCTGCCTCAGCTTCCCAAGTAACTGAGACTACAATGTGCCCTACCACGCCTAGCTAGTTCTTCTATTTTTAGTAAAGACAAGGTCTCACTCTTGCTCAGACTGGTCTCAAACTCCTGAGCTCAAGGGATCCTCCCACTTTGGCCTTCCAGAGTGCTAAGATTACAGGCATGAGCCACCATGCCTGGCTACCACTCTCTCCCCCTTGACTAGTCTCTATTGTTTAGTTATAATTTATCAGTTCCCTGTGGGCATTTATGACGTTTCCAATCTTTTATACTAGTAATACTTTAGTTAATGCCCTTTAGAAATATGTAGAACTAGGCTTGGCAAGGTGGCTCACTCTTGTAATCCTAGCTAGCACTCTGGAAGGCTAAGACTGATGGATTGCTTGACCTCAGGAGTTTGAGACTAGCTTTGAGCAAGAGCAAGACCCTGTCTCAACTAAACATAGAAAAATTAACTAGGTGTTATGGCGGGTCTGTAGTCCCAGCTATTCAGGAGGCTGAGGCAAGAGGATCACATGAGGCCAAGTTGAAGTTACTGTGAGCTATGGCAGCCACTACAGCACTCTACCCAGGGTGACAGAGTAAGACTCTGTTTCCAAAAAAAAGAAAGAAATATGCAGAACTTACAGCCCTAATAATGTCCAAAAGAACATCCAAATTCATATGTTGCCTTCAGTTGTCATCTCTTTAGCCTCCTTTAATCTGAAGTGGTTGTTGACTTTTTCTTTGTATAACATATTTCTTTGTATTTCATGATACTGACTTTGTAGAGAAAATTGCCCAAGTTGGGTTCATCTGGTGTCTCCTCATGATTAGATTTAGGTTATGCACGTTTGGCTAGAACACCACACTATATCCTTAGTGCATTATGTCAGGAGGTGTGTGTCATCAGGTGTGTTACTGGCTACCTTAACTTTAATCACATGGTTGAGGTGGTCTGCCACATTTGTAGTCAGTAAATTTGTGCTGATAGACGTTGAGACATTCGTAAATATTGTTGCTTCTCCAACTTGCCTGCACTAGCATCCATTTGAGGGTTCTTGCCAGATTTCTTTATGAATCTAATGGATGCCAAATGGAGATTTTCTAATTTTGTCATTCCTTCCAGTTGAATAGTTGGGTTTCTTTTAAAAGGACAAATTTTCAGCTTGGCACCTATGGCTCAAGTGGCTAAGGCACTAGCCATGTACGCCTAAGGTGGCAGGTTCAAATCCAGCCTGAGCCAGCCAAACAACAATGATGGCTGCAACCAAAAAATAGCCAGGCATTGTGGCGGGCGCCTCTAGTCCCAGCTGCTTGGGAGGCTGAGGCAGGAGACTCGCTTGAGCCTTGGAGTTTGCTGTGAGCTGTGATGTCACGGCACTCTACCCAGGAGGACAGCTTGAGGCTCTGTCTCAAAAAAAAAAAAAGGAAGAGTTTTCTTTCATCTACCCATCCATCCATATCACCTGAAAGCCATGTATTCTTTATTAAGTAGGTTATAATTGGTTATAATCTCGTCTTTATTTATTTTGATAAGTTATCCTATTGTCATTTGTTTCATTGCTCAAATTCTGTTGTCTGATTTGGCTCGTGGGGCCTTCCCCTTCTAGCCAACTCGCCCTTTTAACCTGTCTCTGTGATTCCTAGAGTACATCCTTTTGCAGCACAGTAAAATAAATGTTCATGTTGTCATTTCCTGCCCCTAGTCTTGGAACCAGCCATTTCTCCAAGGAGTCCTGGTTTCTTTTAGTGGAGAATATTTAGAAGTCAAGCTTTGTGTTTGAGAATTATTAGTCATGTCCCTATGAAAAGGAAGTCTACTAATTAGAGTTTGGCATTTGTACTTTTAAACTGTAACCTGGAGACACTACTGAATGAACTTGCTAATTAATGACTGTGTTCAAGTTTCTTGGGCCAGTCACCTCCCACCTTCCTTCAGTGTGGGTATTTTATTAAGTTGAAATGTTTTGTTTCTGTTTGTTGAATTTAGCATTCTTCTCATTCTTGTTGATTTGTTTTCTCCTTCTTTTTTTCACCCTTTTCTCATTCATGCTCCACAGGGTAATCAATTTCATTAGCCTGTGGCTTGTCCTTTCTGTGTTTCTTTTTGTTCAAATGAGCATAGGCGTGTACATTCTTTATTTTCCCACCTTTCTTGCGTAATGGTATAGTATATATACTTTTTTGTACTTCATTTTTTTTACTTAATAATATATCCTGGAAATTACTCCACGTTAGTACATAGAGGCATTCTTCATGTGTTTTTTATTTCACGGTAACATAGTACTCCATCCTGTCGATGTATCATTTGGGCATTGAGGTATTTTCAGTATTTTGCAATTATAGACAGTGCTGTAGTGAATAACCTAATGCATGTGTTTTTGCATCGTTAGAGATGTTATCTTCAGGGTAAATTCTTTTGTTTTTGTTTTTTTTGGAGGCAGAGTCTGACTTTGTCACCCTCTAAATTAGAGTATCATGGCATCACAGCTCATAGCCACCTCAAACTCTTTGAGCTTTAAGCGATTCTTTCGCCTCAGCCTGCAGAGTAGCTGGGACTACTGGTGCCCGCCACAACACTTGGCTATTTTCAGAGATGAGGTCTCACTCTGGCTCAGGCTGGTCTCAAACTCATGAGCTCAGGTAATCCACGCACCTTGGTCTCCCAAAGTGCTAGGATTATAGGCGTAAGACACCATGCCTAGCCTTTAATGTTTGTTCATTGCTCTAATTCAAGCTCTGACATTTTTGTAAAGGCACACAGAAACACAAGAATAACATCAATAAAAAAGTAAGTAAGACACTGCCACACATCAACACGAGGACAGCTCTGAGACCAAGGTTATGAAGCCATACTGAGTTATTTGTACAGTGCTGCCAACCTGAGTGCACAGTGGCAAGTTGATGAACTTATTGTCATATCTTGTATGCATGTTCATTTGTCTACAGCCTCACAAAGTGAGTGTTTTGTTATATTTTCTGTTTTGCTAATTTCACAGATGAGAAATAGTTGAAAAATGTTATCTCATCATAGTTGTAATTTGCTTGGTTCTTATGAAACTGTGGTATTTTAAAATGAAACAATTTTTTTCCATAGGCGAAACTGCAAAGGAAATCCGAATTGTTTGGTTGGGATTGGTGAGCATATCTGGTTAGGAGAAATAGATGAAAATAGTTTCCATAACATTGATGACCCCAACTGTGAGAGGAGAAAAAAGGTAAACCATCATTTTCTAAGTGATTGCTATTTGATATTTCTTGGTTTTTTATTTTTGCTTTTGTTTTGTGCCTATAATCAGAAACCACTACTGATTTTTAGTAACCTCTTCTTTCAGCTTTACAATAAGTAGTAGAATGTAAGAGTCTAAGCCCCTTGAATTGGAGCAGTTCTTTTTTTTAAACGCATTTATTACATATATTTTTTGAAAATAGAAGCACTTCTTAATGATACGCTTTAAAATAGGTAGGTCTGCAATCCAGTTATCCTCTAAATAATGGTTTTAGTTTGAGTGCTTATTCTGTGTTTGCTTTGACATTGCACATTTTAGTTTGAACTCTTTGAAGTCTGTTTCCAGGAGGTAGTAATTCAGGGGAACAAGCTAACATAATGCAACATCGCTTTTTAGGGCTTATATATATTATATTATATTATATAATTTATATATATATATAAAA